GGACGTGGTGAGGTTACAGAGTTCTGTTTTTGCTCATCAAAACCCACGGGGAGTGTTTTCTTATCTTGGACTTAATGGTTCTCTGTTGTCTGTTTTGTGGGTTGCTCGTTCTGTTTCCCACTAAGCAGGTTGTTTCGTAATGCAAATGCATATTTCGGTCCTCCTTGTTTTATCTACTTAATCTTTATTAATGTCTCACTTCTCTTAATATTCTGGCAGACAGCGTCCTGCACAAACACACAGTGAGTATCGTGGGGGCTTCCTGAGTACCCGGGGTAGAAAGGTTTTTTGTGCTCAGTTTATTACGCCTGCTTGAGGTTTCAAGCTAAATGCTCCTAAGCACAAAACATGCATACCAAGCAGAGTCTGCAAGCTGCAGAGTGTAGTGCACTCAGGAATCCAGGTCCCATATCACATTTACACCAGGAGCTAGAAGAGAGTGAGGAGCTGTTCTTGGAGCTGTCTTCATTTGTTTGTTTTGTCTGATGAGCAATCCAAACCCAGGAGGTTCAAGTTACAAAACCAATAAATTCTCCCATTTGAGTAGTTGCAATAAGAGAATGTTTGGCATTTTTATTTATCTCTTATTAACATTTTAACTGGTTTACTGGGTAAAGTAACACACTGTAAAAATCATTTAAAAATCATCAGAACAGCACAAACGAGTTTAGTAGTAATTTTTCATGTTTTTTTTTTTCTTACACACTGAGTGAAGTTCAGATCAGTGCAGGCCTCAATATACAGATAATATATTGAGGAAGCCAAGTGAAAAAGATTCCTTTAAAACTGGCACAGAAACATGAACCTCTGAAACATCTTTACACAAAGAAACCAGGAGTAATATTCGAAGGAGAAAACATTATAAACTGAGAAAAGATAAACTAATACACTCTGAATATATATGCCATCAGAACAAAACAAGGACTTTTGCAAACTCCTATTACACCAGTCCCTGGTGGAAATTAAAATGTGGGAATTGTGCACAATGCAACAATAAAACTAGACAAACCCGTTTCAGTCATCCACATACGGGTATGAAAATACAAATCAGGGGAGTCATTTTATGCAACACAACGGGTGTCATTTATTTGTTAATGTGTCCTTGTGGAGAAGTATGTGTAGAAAAATGATATGTAGGAAATTAAAACAAAGAATAGCAGAACATCTGTCTTTTTGCAGCACATTTCCTGGAAATGAATTATCCATTGCCTTCACTACAATATGTGGGAATGGAGAAGGTTTGTTTGTCAGAGAGGGGCAGACAGAGAGGATGAGGAGAGAGACATTTTGGATTTTTAAACGAGGCATTTTAGGTCCAAGAGGGTTAAATCTGATTTGAAACCATTCCTGTAGAGTCTGTTGGAGTGTATTTATTTTTCATCAAGGCTTTTAATGGACTATGTGAAATTAATGAGATGTGCATATGGTCCTCTTTGATGTATTAAAATGAGTTGTTTGGATGATTAAATGGTTGTTGGAAGGATACATGACATTGATTAATTAATGTTTTTGCTCCCACTAATGAGTTGGAATGTTGGAGAACAGTGTGAAATGTAAATGGTAATGTCAGTCAATCTATGGGTTTATCAGTTTATTTGTATAGCGCTTTCAAAGCCACAGTCAGTTCTTCACACGATAAAAGGAGATGGTTGAGACCAACACAATAAAATAAATTAAACTGACATGGAATAGAAGTTATAAAAGAATATATGTAAAATATATATTGTAACGTTTCATAAATATACTCTGGATATACAGTATATGTTGTAGACTTATGATAATTGATTTGCAAAGTAGCTAAAAACTTTTACTCAGGTACTGTACTTGAGTACAATGTTGAGGTGTCTTTACTTGAGTATTTTCATTTTCTGCTGCTTCATACTTCAACTTCACTACATTTTAGAGAACAGTATGGTACCTTTTATTTGCTACGATGTTTTTTGATAACTTTAGTTACTAGTAAGTTTTCAGAGACAGGTCTATAAAGCAAAACCCAGTATAATTATAAGACTTTGTTGATCTATGGTGGGTTAAATTTACAAGTGACCCATCAGTATGTGAAGTGTTTCAAACTGTACAAATATGAGGTAGTTAACATTAGCTCGACTTTTACCAACTTCAATATTTAATGTGATGTACACAATAATATGTCAGCAAACATAATCCAATAATATGATTTTGAATGTAGGACCTTTTACTTGTAACTGAGTATTTTTACACTGTGGTATATATCTGAGTACTTCCTACACCACAGAATATTTCTTTATACATTTTGCAATGAGTAGCATGAATAACATGTTTCTCAAAAAAAAAAAAAAAAGATCCAGATGTATCTAAGACTGATAACATGTCTGTATATAAAGAAACCAAAACCAGCCTCGGGACTCCACCCTGATGAAGGCCTGCTTCCCAAAATCATTTGGTAATAACTGTTTGATATATTTAAGAAGAGGTATGTGACGTGTCCTGAGTGTTGATATCTAACATGCCATATCTCAGCACACATCTTCAACCAGTTCACCACAGTCATGGAAACAGGACATGATTTGTCTTGTTTTCAGTTATTTATTGATGCCAATTCGTTAGATAATTGTCTGTGAGCAGCGTGCTCTGTTTACATGTCAGCTCTGTGAACTTTGTCAGGGCCCTTTAGTCTAACAGATGGAGAACCTCAGGGTTAGACTCACCGTGTCATCTGTGCGTTTGTGGAAGGAGGTTTCAAGACAGCCAACTTTCCTCAGACTGGGTATATTTGGAAGAAACAAACAAGATCAGAAATGTGTGTATGTGTTGTGTTTACTGTTGCACTGCAGCTCAGTGCTTCAGACTTTGACACTGTTTTCTTCACATATAACTAATGAATTCACTATGGGTAAGAGAATTCAGACAGTGGCGCAGTCTGCTTTCCAAGTGTCTCCATGTTCTCCTGCAAGCCTGAAGCTGTGTAGTATTTTAGTAAATCATTAAATCCAAAGGAGTAGTAATCTTTCTGAGAAATCCCGCTGCAGTATTTTCTCTCTCTGAGAAGCATCATTATTCTTGAATGCATCACTAATGACCTCATCTGTAAAGTGCCATGAAGTTGCCATAATCCTAAATCTGAGAATTTTTTCTGCCTTTCTATTACAGAAGTAAGAATTGAATTTCAGACTTTGAAATGTACCTCCTCTGGTGTTCAAGACTACTGTAACTGTAAAATTCTCTGTGACTTCTCTGTGACTTGCATTTGTTCCTTTTTCCTTCTGTGCACAGACAAAACATGAAATATGCTAAAAACAATAGACCACATTTGTCATGTACAATATGTTGCCCAGAAAGAGAGTCTGCTTGTGAAATCTGTCCAGTTACAGAATGAGGGGTATTGTGTGTGTGTGTCATCTTGTGAAAACAAAAAGTGATCTTCTTTGTCATGAATAACGTTTTACCAGACAACTACAAACTGTAGACAAATTTGGTTAAGTTAGTATCAATCAGTTTACAGACTGACTTTGTTGTTCAGCTTGATTCACTGAACTTTGCATATTCGTATGTGTGTACATAGTTTTTCGGCCTAATGTGTAATTATTCAGAATCAGCTTTATTGGCACAAGGAATTTGACTCTGGTACAGCAGCTCTCAATGTACAATGCTCTTCCATAAGGCAACAAGTGGACAAGATAAGACTGAGAGAACAAGAAAAGAAAAGAATGTGCAAATTAGAAAAATAGATGTGCATTAGGAAAATAAAAATAAAGAACTTATAACCATAGAAATATAATATCCACACTGTTTAGATGTAGTTTTTCAGATAAATATATGCAAAATTATATTTACAGGTATTGCACTGTTGTCGTTCTGTTATGCAGTCATGAGTTCAGTGTTCATCAGAGCAATGGCCCAGGGGAAGAAACTGTCCTTGTGCCTGGTTGTTTTGATGTTCATTGACCTGTAGCGCCATCCAAAGGGGAAGAGTTCAAACAGATTGTGTCCGGGGTGTGGTGACCACACCAAAGGGCCAGCGGTTCAACCTCCCGTCTGTAGGCTGACTCGTCACAGTCTCAGATGAGACCAATGACTGTTGTGCTGTCTGCAAACTTTCAGAGTTTAACACGGGTTGTTTGAGTAGAGGGAAAACTGCAGTGGGAAGAGCCCACATCCCAGGGGGAGGGCAAGTGTGTTGATTGTCCAGGTGCTGGATCTGGTTTTCCACAGTGTCACGATCACTCATGACATTTATACTGTGCTCACTTCCAGTAAAGGTGGTTATGTACTGATTTACTGGCAAACAATGCACAACTTCTCACAGTCTGCATTGTCAAACACCAGCATAAAGCTACAAATACTCAACTACTCTGATTTCCATTTGAACTACAGTCACTTATGATAGAAACAGTGGTAAAAGCAATGATTTTTTTTTTAAAGAGAATTGCTTCTTGATAGAACTGCATAATTAAGGCATATCTGTAGCAGATGTCAGCCTACAACCACTTTTCTACTAGTAAGGAGTTCTCAAGGCTTAACAAAGCTTTCCATATTCATTTGACATTTAGCACACACACATGCTCAGTGACACAGATACTGTAGCCTCTCCATGCCTCTCTCAGTGGTCACAGCAGAAAACAGGGAGAAAAGAGAGACAAAAAAAGAGCTAGAGATAAAACAAGAATAGAATAAGAACTCCCACTCTTAAGTGATTTACTGAGAGAGGCACGATGTCGTAAGGTTTCATTTCCAGGCAATTTTCTACCCAGCAAGGATTGTGTGGGCTAATGTGTATGACTAAATGTACAGTGAATCACAGGGTGTGTGAATGAGGGAGTGCATCTCTGCCTCATCACAGAAGTGCTAGGAGTACTCCTGTGTCAAAGGAGTGGTGTAGGAAATGCATTTGTGCTGTGAGAGAAATGCGTAGGATTTTGTACAACACATTGTAATTTCATCTGTAATGAATTTCTCTTTGTGTCACCAAGTATCTTTAACAAAATCCATCTGCTGTTCTCGTGTGTCAAAATATCTTCCAGGTGACTTGGTCTCCCGGGCCATGCACCACCTGCAGCCACTGCACATCAAGAACCCCAGCAACGGGACTCCGGTCCACCAGAAGACCAACACCACGGTGCACTGGGAGCCTGAGGCGCTCTATACCCTGTGTTACTTTATGCACTGCCCCCAGATGGAATGGGAGAACCCCAACGTCGAGCCCTCCAAAGTCACCTTACAAACTGAGAGGTGAGTCCAGCAGTGACCCTGGAATTGATGCTGCTTTCATACAAGAAGCTTAGTCTGAATCTAAGAAGAGTTGGCACTATGAGCTCTTTCAGGACTATGTGACTGTTGCTGAGTCAAACTATTATAACTGTCTTGATAAAATCTTTTCAATTACTGCTTTTAAATTGTTATTAAGAAAATAGGAGAGATAATACACTATAGAGTTTGTCCTAGTAGATAAGAAAATCACACCGCACTTGTTTTTATGTCTCTGTGGCACCTGTGGATTATTTTGTTGTCACCTCCCACCCATATGTCTCTAGTTTCCCTCTGCATGTAAAAATGGGCATGACATCTCTGCAGTAGGAGCAGACAGAGAGGAAGCATTTTGGCTTAGTACATTTTTTCTGCAAACCCACAAACCAAGTGTGAAAACTGGATCAAATTTTAACTAGTTTCTTGCAGATGTTCTCACAGAGCTCTGCAAAAATAATCTTGATATTTAATTTCACCCTTAGTAGATGGAGGCAAAAGCAGGATGTGACATAGGAATGGAGGGTGTGCTTCTGGAGCGAGATGGTCTGGCCTTGAAGAGGCCAAAAGTACACATGCATTCAGGGGCTTTATGTTAACACAAAGTCAAGTCAATAACGCCCAAGTTTATCAGAAGTTACCTTCTAAATAGCACTTTTCTACCTTACCAGACAAAGTGCCTTACAGTTTCTGCCACCCATTCACACACCTGCAGCACGGGCAACATCAATGCGATAAGAGAGTTCCTCCCAGGCGCGTATTAGCATATCACGATCCATTGAGTTGATCGCTGTTGTTGTGGCCACATTGAACACTTGTAGGACAGGAAATAAAAGTTGATTGTGAGTAGAATACTTGTGACTTGGCTGGAGTTTTGTATTACTTTTCCTTAATAAAATATTGCGTAATGAATTCGGTTCATTCTTTTTGAATAACCCTGTGTAACATTTTTTGGGTAATAGATTTGGTGATTAATGTATCCAGGTTACTAGCAACAACAAAGTGGCATTTACAGTATGTATAGTTGTCATTATTGATGCTGCAGTGGCTTTTGTATTAGCCTAATTCAAGTGATTTACCAAATTTACTGTATACTGTACTGTACCTGGTGAATATGACACCAGTTGGTGACATTTCCTGACTCTGAGCAGTCAAAGATCCCCTGACCTGGGTACACCATAGTTGTACGGGATCAGTGTAGCCAACACAAAGCAACATTTTTGTCTGCATTTGGAGAATCCTTTTAAAAGCCTGCAGCAGGCACTTATGACATATCAGCTCTGGAAATTCAGACAGCGCTGATATTGAATTTAGTCTTGCAGAGGGCCGACAAAGAGCCATTCTGACAACAAATCCTTTTTCAACAATCAATGTTGCCAGTTAGCTTCTCTATCTATAATGTGTGGATCTTTTCATCCACTCATCAAACTTAAGACCAAGCAGTAAGATGATTTCTATCTATTCTAAAATATTTGTGTAAGATAAAACTCAATCTCCCAGAATGTCTATCACCCTTTCTTCTGGCACTCTATTCACACTGTAAAAGCTTTACATTTAGTGGGGACAACTTCCAAATGCTGTCCTTCTTGATACATAAGGGTAGTAGCTGAAGGTTAGTACAGACATTTCTACTTCTTTGCACTCACTTTTTATTTCCCCTGCAAGCATAAGATGCTGTGTGAGCTGGTCAGATTCAGGTTCAGGTCACTTTATTAACACCCGAAGATAGATTTGTTTGCAGCGGAGTGACAATTCTCAACAGACAAATAAAATAACGCACAACATATTTTAACCATAAAAACATATTAAAAAGACATGAGAAACCATAAAACATCAGACTTGAGAAGAGTACTACAGCTTATTAAACCCAGAAATGGCAGCAGGACCAAAACTATTTTTATACCGTTTCGTTCTGCATCTTGGCACTGGGAACCTCCATCAGGACGGGAGAGGACAGAACTCCTGAAACAAGGGATGCATGTCATCTTTTAGAGTGGGAAAAGTCATCCTCTGTAACTGTTTCGTATACAGTTGTACAACTGGGCAAACCTGCACCTCCCGTCGGTTGACTTGACCATTTTACAGTTTTCTTCAGTGAATTCCTGGCCCTTAAGGTCGCGTGACTAAACCATACTACCAAGGAAACGGACAAGATAGATTCAACAAAGGCCTGATAAAACACAGTTATTATTTGATTTGATTTGATTTGATTTGATTTATTCTTTCAAGCATGTAAAGACAGTTGATATATCAACACACATAATTTTACACATATCCAACAAATGCTAATCCAATATCAATTTGCTTATACCTAGTACATGCTTGAATGGAGTAGGAAGAAGTCAGACTTATCCAGTCCTACCCCATGAATACAGCAGACAAGAAGGATCTAATGGTACTTACTGATCTCTGGTCAGGTTCAGGTGATGAGCCCTTCTCTGCAATTCTTCTCCTGTAAGACAGAGTCCAGAATTATTTCTGAAAAACAGTTGCTATTTTTAAAAACATATCATCATGTTTAATGTTAATATCATAAAGCACAGACCACACAATTCCTCCTGAACTCCACATTTTTAAAACCTAAATTCCTTAGATTTCTCTAGATCTTACAGTGATACTTCTCTGTCAGCAACAAAGTGCATTTAAATTACGATTTTACTACATATCATCTCATAATACTGAGGAATAGTGAGAGTGATGAGTACATGAACTTATTCTTCAGGTGGCACAACAAAATCCATTGCGACCAACATTGGGGTTTGCTCCAATGGTGTGATCCCTATACCCCATCTTATGCACAATTCTTATCGCTCTTTTTTGTAATATATACAATGGTTGAAGTGAGCTTATGTATGTATTTCCCCAGTTTTCATATTCATTATAGTACAAAATAAGATAATTTCTAGGGATAAATTCCTACACACAGCCTCACAGTTGGCCTCAACACTCAGTTTTGCATCAATAATCGTGCCAAGGTATTTGTAATATTTCACAGTCTGCCCACTGATCCAAGTAGCATTACTAGTGTGGGGCTTCCTCCTAAACTCAATAATCATGTCTTTAGTTTTAGTTATATACAATAAGAGGTAGGATTCCTCACATCACTGAACAAATTCTTCAGTAATTCGGCCTTGACTGGTCTCATCCTCTTCAAGCAGACTAAAGACTGATGTCATCTGCATATTTAATAAAGGTTCTGTTGTCGTGTCTGCTCTGACACATGTTTGTGCAAAGTATAAATAGCAAGAAGAGTGACAACGCACACCCTTGTGGTGAGCCTGTAGAACATATTTTATCTGCAAGGGTGTCATCCACCCTCACTCTCTGTGTCATATTTATTAAGAAATCCAAAAACCAGCCTGCCAAATTGTTGCCTGAATCAAACTGTTCTAAGTCTTTTAATCAAGATGTGAGGATAGATAGTGTTAAAAGTAGAAGAGAACAAGCAAATAAAAGCTTTGCATGAGTCCCACCTCCATCCAAATGTTTAAAAAGCAAAATAAGCTAAGTAAGAGTAGCATCTTCTACTCTTCTGAGGTCTATAAGCAATTGCATGGGATCATGTAGGTGCATAGTTTCTGACCTCACTGGGTTTTTCAAATATCTTCAGTACAACTGAGGTCTGAGCTACTGGCCTAAAATCATTTAAAACCTTTGGACAGCTGACTTTAAGAACTGGAACAGCCACAGCATCCTTCCGTATTAAAAATCCAGTAGAACATGGCACTTGGCTCCTTTGCACAAAGTTTCAATAGGTAACCACAGATTCAATCTGGTCAGTGCTGACCCTGGCATTGACCCCGGGGACTGATGGGAGCTGAGGAGACTTCACTTGGATGGATGTATAGATGGATAGATACTATTACTCCAGTCTAAAGAGATAAAACTCCATCTCGATGACCCAGGGGAGCCAAAGGAATGTCAGGCTGAGTGACATGCCAGCAGACTCTTCCATCTCCCAGGAAAACATTCTCTATTTAGCATTCTGCTGAAAGGTTGAAGACAAGTAGAAAGGGCCTGAATAACTCAGTGGGGTGAGATAGAGACAGAGTTTAAATGAAATAAAATAATGTTTTGGGGTTGTTTAATGAAGTTTCAGTTAGGTCTCTGTGAGGTGAAAAGTTACTGAAGGGAAGTAAATTGCACCTGAGCTTTAAATATCAACCTGATGTTAAATCAGTCTGGTTAACCACATCAGTTTCTGAAGAAAGACAAAGACTCTGGGGGAAGTTCAAATAGAAGCAGAGGTGCAGTAGATAATATGTTATGACATATTCAGGATCTTCGCACAGACATTTATTCCAAAGGAGGAACTGTTACACTGGCAGCTCTGGGTGTTGGTTATCGCCGCAGGCCTGCACATCTGTATCGATGGATGTTGTGTTTTCATTCCAGACTCGGCCTCCCTCTTTTCAAACTCAGAACAGTAAATATGTCTTTCAGGGACCAGGCATGAGTTAGAGCATAAGCTTTGAGAAAAGGCTAAATGGCATTGAAGGCCTTCCCTTAAAAAAGCTCTTTCAAGACTAGGTGTAAAAACAAGATGAGAAACTGATGCACATAAAGAGTAGCCTAGTAAAACGTATGTCAATATCTAAAAGCTTCTGTCGTGATTAAATATATGCTTACAGCAAATTTACAGAAACACCACACAGCTGCTTACTCAACAAACATCACAGTCCCAGAAGGTTTCTCTCAGTTTGGTATGTGCTTCTGTTTGAATTCATTTTTTGTGAAATCGTGGTTGCCAGAGGGTCAAGAGGGAGAAAAGCTCTAAAGGGGCCTTTACTGATGGAGCCATAATATAATTTAACTCACTATAACATGAAATTAGCCCATTTAATGAAACAACTTAAGGATTTCTAATGTGCATCTGAGACTACTTTATGGTTTTAAAAGCCTTTAAGGAAATTAGTTTGTTTTATTATCATCTAAACCAGGATATGGCAAGTCAGAATTTCCCCTAACTACCATAAGTAATGTTTCCTGTAGAATAACAACATTTGTTGTTAAAATTAGCCTGAATCATTCCATTCATACAAAGGGTATAGTCACAATGGCTACGCACAAATGGAATAACAAATCAAGCTTCACAGCCTTGTGAAGGGGATTTTTAAGTGTGTCCTTTTTACCAGTGACCTGCCCATATTAGCCATATCCCAGGGTTGTTCTGTTTGCCATTAGTTGACTAATGTAGAGTAGAGGAAGAGAACATTGTGATGAGTCTAAGGGAATAATTAGCATGAATGGGCTGGATTTACTGAGGCCACGCTGTCAGCGGATGGACTCATGAAAATCTTTTTTTTTAATTATTATTATTAACTTTATCTCATTCAGGAAAACAGTGAAGTCTGTCATTTGTAATTTGTGAGTCAGATGAAACAGTCTGAGATTTCTACCTGTTTTTTCTTCTGACTGTCCACATGTGAAGTGTGGACAGTCAGAGAGCACCAACAACTTGCTGAGCTCTTCACTTTCATAACTTTCTCAGAAACGACATTCCAAGATAAAATAGCACATCTCATAAATACCTGACTAACATCTTCCAGAGGGTTTTGGCAGTTATAACTGTCAGTGTGTCCCAGTGGAGCGTGGTTCTGATTGCTGGGAGATGTGAGGCGTTGTAATCCTGTCCTCTGAGGAGCAAGTAAGCCACTGCACGGCACAGCACAGCAGGACTAAAGCACCGAATCATAATAAAGTTTCAGGGTGGTTCAGGTTGAACAAGTGCAGATGCTGAGCAGCCCCTGGCTGCCTACTGGAGGTGTGCAGCAGGGACTGGTGCTCCAGGTTAAGTTTGCACAGACTAGGGATATTCAATAAAACTGTAACCCTCAGTGCTTCTTCAGAAGGAGTTGACACAGGTTCATTCTCCATAAAAATATTAACGATGACACATATGAAATATTAACATTACTGATTTTGATTTTTAAAAAGGTACTAACAGCATGAGGGTGCAGTATCTGGATCTCATTATGTTCTGGACTATCTGAGTTATAAATTATGAAGGCTGATTTGGTGAAGCTGCTTTTTCATTTATCTGTAAGGGCATCTCTAATTAGAAAGTTTGTGGCTATCCATGGTGGACCAGGGTCTTTATTAGGTGATTATATTATGAAACCCAGCTATGTGTTTTAAAGGATATGCCAATATTATCAGTTTGAATAATAAACCTGGACTCACAAGGGTCATTTTAATCATTTGATTGTATATTGATATAGCCCCTAACATTATGTGTGTGTGTGCAGTCTACATTTGTAAATGGAAATAATTAAGTGGCTGAATTTTTCTGCTACATGTGTCGATATGACACTTGTCAGTGTTTTATTATGCTAGCACATTTATATTTTCTCATACTTTAGCATGATTTACTGTTAAATTGCAGGTTGTTATCCTTTTGTTTCTTCTTTCATGTACAGTTTTGTACATATGTATTAAAGGTGCAACTACCAGTTGTTTTCAATATTGATTAATCCACCAGTAATTTGTCTTTCACTGTCTGATTAAATGTTTGATTGATAAAACAACGAAAAGTGAAAAATGTAGTATCTGAGTAGACAGTGACTTCATTAAATGTCTTATTTTTGATTTTGTTTTTGAGTGAACAAAAGTCTAGAATTTATTATAATGTAAGAATCAGCAAAGCAGCCATCTCTTGAACCATCAAATGTTTGGCATTTAACTTATCAGAACAGTTGCTGATTAATTTTATTCTGATGGACTCATTCAATTTCGCAAACATCGCAGCTCTAAAATGTTTAAATGTTTTACCGATACAGCATATTTGTGCTGTGTTTAATATTTCCCTTGTATCCTTCCATTCTTCATTCATTTGTTCATTTTACCAGTGTAAACCCTTTAAATTTCGTCTGGTGTCCCCTACAGGCCGTTCCTGGTACTGCCTCCGCTGATGGAGTGGATCCGGGTAGCGGTCGCACACACTGAGCATCGACGAAGCTTCTCTGTGGACAGCGATGATGTGAGGCAGGCTGCCAGGCTGCTGCTCCCAGGAGTGGACTGTGAACCACGACAAATAAAGTAAGAACATGATACTTGGAACAAAATGTACTGCAAGCAAACAGCTCTGTGAGCAGGAGCAGCCGCACTGCTTCAGTTACACCTTTAACTGTGTGAAGTAATGTTGGTTTACACCTGTTTAGGACGCCTGTAATGCAGCAGGTGTGGGTCCTGATTCCAATATCTCAGCTCAGAAATCTCTGAGACCATGAAAAAGATTTAATTAGTGTAAGTGCATCGGTTCTCATGCAGAAGAATACATTGTGTGCCTCCAGATAAGCCCCATATACGGTATATAAAGATGACGTGACAGCTCCAGCACATGAAGCCACCACAAGTCGACTGCTCCTTGGAGGCTAATTGCAATATAGGTCATAAACCACGCCCCCTCCATATTAGTGGATGGGACATGAGCCAGACTAAAAATTCAAATAAAACATATTTTTTCCAAAGGTGATTTCTCTTGTATTAGGTAGATATCACAGTCCCATGTCTGTTTCTACTGCACAGAATCCGGTTGCAAAATTCATCATAAAAGCAAGATAAGGGCCCCCATATACAGTGGGTACGAAAAGTATTCAGACCCCCTTAAATTTTCCACTCTTTGTTATATTGCAGCCATATGCTAAAATCATTTAAGTTCATTTTTTTCCTCATTAATGTACACACAGCACCCCATATTGACAGAAAAACACAGAATGTTTGACATTTTTGCAGATTTATTAAAAAAGAAAAACTGAAATATCACATGGTCATAAGTATTCAGACCCTTTGCTCAGTATTTAGTAGAAGCACCCTTTTGAGCTAATACAGCCATGAGTCTTTTTGGGAATGATGCAACAAGTTTTTCACACCTGCATTTGGGGATCCTCTGCCATTCCTCCTTGCAGATCCTCTCCAGTGCTGTCAGGTTGGATGGTAAACGTTGGTCGTCATGTTTAACATGTCATTTTGCTTCAGTGGCATTTTGGTCTGTTTCACCCAGATAGATGAGTCGGTGTGAAAATGTGGGAAAGATGGTCAAAAATGTGATTTAATGTGCTTCTCTTAAAAGCAGTTGTAGGTTTGGTGGTTGAATAAAAATGGGAAGGAGAAAGCTGTGTGACCACACAAAGCAGTTTTGAGTTTTGAGATTCAGTAAATTTGCCACTTCCCCTTTTTTTAACTGTCTTCTTTTTTATGTGGTGTCAAATCTGTGAAAAAGAAAACATTTGTTTGTACATGACCCGGTTGTACTTTTCCTCAGATGCCTGGTAATATCTAACATCTTCAGAATGAATCTAAATGGTAAATCATAATAATGTGGTTTATGATGACATATGAGTGCACTTTTCAAAGTACTCTACATCAGGATATTTCATTCTGACTGACAAGATGTACTTAACATGTACTTACCAAACAAACAAAAACACTATCTTTATAATAATGACCCTCATCAGTCAAATTAAATATTCTTCATATTTTATATTAGAAAACCAGACAGGAAAATGTTGTTTTTACTGCGCCAACCAAACCAGTGCTTTCAGATGAAGACTTTTAAAGTGTAGGTGAAAACTAAAAATCGACAGTATGAATCTTTCATCACAGGAACTCACAGGAATTGCACATTAAATAGTTTATTATTGAAAGAAAAGTGGATGAATAAATCAATTATAAAACAAACACAAGTGAGAATACATGGAGGACTGCAGACTTAATCTAAACGATATCCGGGACTCACCGCTCAGCAGGGAGGGATTTCATTCATGAAGTGCTGGAGGAAGAAATGGGAGGATGTCTGACCTTCGCTCCCATACTTATGTCTGTGACAGGAGGCTGTCAATATGGGGTGCTGTGTGTACATTAATGAGGAAAAAAATGAACTTAAATGATTTTAGCATATGGCTGCAATATAACAAAGAGTGGAAAATTTAAGGGGGTCTGAATACTTTTCGTACCCACTGTATATTTTGTCTACATGTTTGCATAATGGCAGGAAGTGGCCATGCCTCATCCATCTTTGTATCCAGCCTATTGCTTGAACAGAACTAGTTGTAATATGCCTGTTACATAAGCCAGACATCCACACTGTCAACTGTCATCAGAGAGCAGACTGAGTTAAAAGAAGCAAAACACAAAGCAAACAAGACTTTATAGATGTTGTAAATAGTGTTTTGATCAGTAATAGGCAACTTCCTGGCACTGAGGGAGTTCAGTCATTTCAGTATAATAGCAGGACATACTGTAATAAGTCTGACTCATTAAAGAGACTCTGATGTGCCAAACGACTAGTCACACTTTAGTGCAGGAGCTTAATCAGGGTTATTTGCTACACCTTTGCTTTTTGTTCTATGATAAGTTAAGGTTTTAGGAAATGAAGATGCATATACAGTACAGTAATATTATCATTTAGTCTTGCTCTGGTTTTCAGATTAGAAAGACATGGTGGAGTGTCTAATAGGCTAGTCAGTTTTGTGTTTTGTTTTAGCCCAACAAGCAGATTTTAAAAATGGCATTATAGGTCAGTTGTTGGTGATCCCTTATCTTTTCATCTAATGGTATTAACACGTCAAAATGGAATCTCTCCAAAAGCTAAACTAAATTGTGACGTTTAACAATTAACAAGTTTGTTCGTGATGTTTGATAGTTACTAAACAAAATGTACGCTGGCTGTGGGACTGTTCTTTATGGATCTGTGTCCTCTTCTGTTTCCCCCTCTTGCCTCTTTCTTTTACAAACACACAGCAGTCACATGGTCATGCACAATATTGTGTTGGTGTCAGTGGATTAAGAGTTATCACATTTCAAATACTTGCAGAGAAATAATAAATGAAACACTGAGTGGTGTGGGTTCCTAATTAACACCTCTTAACATACTGTATGTGATTGGCACATTACGCTGGACAGGCGACATGAAAGTGACCCTGTGGAAACTTGAGCTGTGACGGCTGCTTGCAGCGTGGATTAAGAGACTTTGCAGGAGACATGAGCGACTAATGATGAGTCATAGCAAAAGCCTTACCTGTAGAAAAGCTACTTGAAGAAAGCCAGAAGCAAAGCCATGTTGACAAATGCAAACATTAGTGAATTGATTTTGAGTGCAAATAGCTCAATATTTTAAATAGACTAACAAAGTTGCAGATAATTTTATAATACCAAGAGCTGAAGCTGTGAAAAGCAGAGATAGTCATTTTCTATTTATTGCAGTGTATACTGAAGATATATCTCAAAATCCATTTCAGAGATAAGCTCCCACTTAATCACAGTAATAGATTTGCTGTTTCCATCTGCAGAGCGGAGGATTGTTTCTGTGCCACCAGAAAGCTGGATGCAGCCTCCACAGAGGCCAAGTTTCTGCAGGACCTGGGCTTCAGGATGCTCAACTGTGGACGTACAGACCTGGTCAAGCAAGCCGTGAACCTGCTGGGGCCTGATGGCATTAACAGCATGAGTGAACAGGTGTGGCACTTAACACACACTATTACCCAGGAACAGGGAAGAGTTAAACACAATAAATTGTGATTTTCTAACAAGTATTACCTGGCAAACCTTCCCAGTTTACACACATGCTGTGCACAGGCTGCTCCTTATGAGTAATGCGATGTGTTAAATTCTTACGCCATGACACTTTTTAAACTCGCATTATTTACAAGAAAATGTTGGTTTCTTTGTGGCTGCGTATAATGAGGTTTGTAGGAATCCATTATACCAATTTGCAGAGATACGGGCAGCAACTGAATTCTGGCTGTGACACAAACATCACAAGGCTTCTTCTCAGTCAGATCTAAATGCAAATATCGTACATGCTGTACCAACTAATATCTGGAGCTGCATTGTCCATCAATGATAAACATTCATAAACACACAGTGACTGGTAGTAGCTTTGCATTACAGCCCTACTCCTTATCCCAAAAATTAAGATGAAAGGAGTGATATGTCATTCCATCTGTAAGCTCCTGGACTGAGCTTTATATGGACTTGGTTTGACCACTGAGTCGAGATCTTAGCGTTACTGCATCGGATTGCTAATATCATTTGGGAATTTCTACCCTCCCAAATCAGTGAAAATAATGGTTATTCCTTGCACTGCTGTCTGCTTACTATTGACAGTTCTCAGATACTCTAAAATCTCAAGATATGTGTTTGTAAAAGGCCCCTTTTGAATGATTGATTTCTAATTCAAGCATGTATTGTAAAAAAGCCATAAAGAAAAAACAACAAAAAAAAAAACACAAATGCAAATAGCAAATGCTCCTGACTGACACTTTTCTCTCCTTTCGTCACATACTGTAAATATCAACACGGTGACATACAGGCTTTTGTTTCCTTAATGGTGCAAAGGAACAGGCATCATTATAGGAGCACTAAAGTAAGATCTGTGGTCTGTCATCACAGCTGAGAAGCATTTGAACCCGTCACGATGATCACTAGGATCGACCGTCTATCACCCTTTAGCTGTATGCTTATTAAGTAGGTCGGTGTCTGGGAAGTATTTAGGAATGAATCAATGCAAAGGGGTATCAGTCGCCAACATAAAGCGCTTTGGTGTGTTAGGAATGAGTCGTAAAAGGCGTTTGTTGAGGATAATGGCCCATATCAGACATAAGATTGACATCTGTTTTATGGAAGCTCGTTCAAAACACTTTAAAATCTGCATAGCTTTACTCAATATAATCTGATAAATGGGAGGGACTCGCTGCCTTGGTTTAAAGTTCGTTTGTTATTTTTCTCTTTACAATAACACTGGCAAAGCTTCGCCCTGCAGCTCAGAGCATAATATGTGTGGGCGTGTCATGCTCAAGAGAGTGCTCAGTGCATATGGTGGCATAGATATACAGAGATGTTATGCTAGGAGTTCCACAGCCCACCCAAGCTGTCGCTCTTGTTGAAAAGACATGGCTATTTTGAGGCAGTTATGATTATGTGTGGTAAAGTAGAACTTGCAACTCCTGGAAGTGTCTCTGATTGATGAGGAGGAAATGGGCTCTGAGTTGTATGTGTGTAAGAACACTAAGTATAGTTTACTGCAGTCTTCATGCATGAACATACAGCTTTGCACATATTCAGAGACTTGGGGACCAAATGATTTTGTTTTGGTTTCCCATACAACTAACAAGCACGACTGTTGCTAAGCTCCTTAAAGAACTGTCTCCTGAGGGCTTTGCTGAGAGCATCCATGTTTTTTACAGGCTTGCCTTCATAATGCATTCATGGGTGTTTGTTAGGTATGATTATGAATCAATGTGCTCACCTCCAGCTGGTGATTAAAATAATTTGGGTGCTCTTTGAAAGCAGATCAGCAACAGATTTGAAACAGGGCATAACTCCAATCAAGCAATTTGTTAATGAACACCTAAAAGCAAACATCCCTCCTCACTGAGAAAACATCATCACAAATTTATTATGAATCCCTGTTTAAAATGCAGCAAAGTGTTCAGACATGAACACTTGGGACAGTTATTTGTCCACACACATAATGCATATACCTGCCAGTATTTCCAGGTGTATTTAATTTGTATGACTGAGTTTAGCCTTTTGAGACATCCACAACATGTTCAATCATTTCATAATCATAGTTTATTTTCATAAATTATATAGCCAGGTAAATATTATTCAGTGCCTGCTTGGCAACACTAATGCCTGCTTGTTTGATGCATGCTTGTAGGAGCTGGAGCTAAATCCCAGCAGCTATCCATTGCTTTGTCCAGGGTCTTGGGTTTAGTTTCTGGGGCTCTCTCTGAGTCTGTTAAACCCATGGTGAAGAACTTAGGCGTGCTCTTTGATAATGAGTTGAAACTGGGTCAGCAGATCAGTGTGGTGGTTAAAGCTGGCTTCTACCAGCTTCGTCAGCTTGCTAAGGTCAGAGCCTTTCTCAATCAGAGTGACCTGGAGATGGCTATCCCTGCCTTCATTAGTTCCAGGGCCTGACTTTTGCAATGCCCTGTATGTAGGTCTTAGTCAATCTTATCTTCCTTTTTCAACTCCCACTGGTTCAGAATGCAGCTGGTCGCCTTTTAACTTGTACTCCAAAACACAAGCATATTGCACCCATTTTGCATTGCCTCCACTGGCTCCTTGTACATTTTAGGATTGATTTTGACCTTTTGCTATTAGTTTTCAAGACACTACATGGTCTCATACCTCCTTATCTTACTGAACTCCCGAGTTTTTATACATGTTCTAGAGCTCTTAGATCAGCTGATCAAGGCCTACTGGAAGTTCCAAGAACTAATTACAAAAGATGGGGGGACTGGGCCTTTTCTGTCACCACTCCCAAGCTGTGGAACACTTTACCACTTGTGGTTGCTTTTAAATCCAAGTTAATAACTTCTTTATCTAAATTTACTTTACTGCTCCTCTTGTCTGTTCTACGATTTTTCACATCTTCTACATTTTCAAGTCTTTGAACAAATTCTACAACTATTAAAATGCTTCCAAGAGGAAAAAGAGCTAATAAACCAGAAGCGAACGAGGATGTTGAGGCGGAAGAGGATTATATTTCAGCGGCGCAAGTAGCTGAGATGTTGAATCAGCAGAAGCTGATGTACACCGCACTAATGTGCCAACAGCAAGAAAGCTTCCAAGGCTTTGTGAAACTAATTATGGAGACAAACAACAAGAGACCCGACGACATGACCAAAGAAATACAGGAGATAAAAACGAGTTTGCAGTTTACCCAACGAGATGTGGATGCGATTAAAGCAGCCATGGGGGAGCAGGAAATACAAGCCAAAGAGACAAGGCATGACGTCTACAAAACTTGTGAGAGTCTAATAACTATAACGTATAAAATGGAGCAATTGGAAGCACAGTCCAAGAAAAAAAACCTGATCTTCGAGGGAATCAAGGAGACAGCTGGAGAAAGCTGGACGGATGCGGAATGTAAGGTGAAGGAGATTTTAAAGGACAAACTGCAAATTCATCAAGAAATAGAGATGGAACGGGTTTACAGAGTCGGGAAACTTTCTGATCGTGGACCGAGGGTGGTGATGGTCAATGTTGAAAGAGAAAGATAAGGCAAACATTCTGCAGCAAGCAAAGAAGCTTAAGGGAACTAATATTTACATCAACGAAGATTACCCCGAGTCTGTGAGGAAGAGAAGAAGGGAGTTGATGCCGATGTTAAGGGAGGCCAGGGCGAGGGGAGACATTGCGTTCCTGCGGTATGACCGACTAGTGACCCGACCTCGGAACCAGAATCCTGGACCCATGACCAGCACTCCGAGGCAAGGAGAGTATGAAGGGGCCGCTGGACCCTCA